ACACCCCCGTCCTCCCCCCCAGAGATGGTCTTTTATTAAATTCACTAACGAAGCACTGTACAATATCAGATGACAACAAGTGACAAGTAACTGACGACGTGCGCTAGTGGCCAAGCTAACAAGCTAACAGGATAAATAAAGCTCTTCAATCTCCCGCTAATTAGTTGCTAGAACAAAGAGGCAAACAAAGAGCAGTTTGCCCATTGAAATTCTACCAAAGCTTTGACGATTTCGGCCTTTTTGACTTCCTTTACTGTCTTTTCTTTCCATTTCCTTCACTTTTAACTTGTGTGGTCAATAAGCATCACTTGACCCTCGTATAATAGCTCCATTGATATCGCCAACGCTTCCAGGCAAAGGACTGGATGACTGGAGAAACTACTCAAGTTGTGAGTTTTTCTGAACTATCTGAGGTCTGAACTTCTTCTCTAAACATATGACAGAAAAAAGTCAGTTTTACTGCTTTACTGATATGACTGTATATAAAACAGGTTAACGATCCACCGGGTCAAAAGTCCTGACTTTATCAACAAAATATGCAAGAAAAGGTCCCAGCACTGGTGTGACTGTTGTCTGTGAAACACCATTCAGTGAGCGCTGATGAATGTTTAACGTTTTTTTTCTCTTCCCGGTTCAGTTTAACTGGAACAAGATGTCATGTGAGGAACGGAGCCATGGGACGAAAAGCGCTCCCATTCGCTCACACTGTACGAGTCACTGGGTTCGTTGACTCGGGGGACAAATGATGGATCACAAAAAGCCAAATCGTCATTAATTATTGAATCTGACACAGCTGTGCTCTTCAGTTGCAGATGTTGGTGGAGGGAGCCTTAAATAACCAGCACTCAGTTGTGTTATGTCAAGCTAAGTATAACTTCCTCGTACTTTTGAATTATTCATATTTGTTGCCTTATTTTAGGCATGGGGGGTGTAAAGACCCAACATAGCACAGGTTTCTACCACCACACATACGTGTGCATCTCCTGAATTATATCAGGGACTGATCTGCGTTGGTTGGACCTCTTGAGACGATGGTACCAGCCATGTCTCGCTAGCTAGTCAAGGACGTTAAATAAGGCTCTGAAGGTCGTCCAAATATGGCCGAGGGAAAAAGTGGCGTGGCCGTATTCACTGGGGTCCCTTGACCTGGTTTAGGAGAACTCGACGCACGGGGCTGAGCTTCATCGCAAATGAATTCAGAAGATGCACAAGGCTGCTACACCCCCCCCCCCCCCCCCAAAAAAAAACAGAACAACAAATGGCTAGAGACGGGTGGGGCGGGGGAGGTGAACCAGCTTTGCTGGGTTTTGCAGGAGCACATCTGCAGTTCTGCACACGTGTCCCATCGACGTCTTTCAACAGTCTCACATTTCCAACGGAGACGAGCTTCCCCCAAAACGAGGCGTGCGGTTTGACTGGAAATGACACTTCCTCATAAATTGATGAGAATACACTTTATAGCTTCTCAAAGCATGAAAGGAAATGTCAAGTCCCTCCCTGGCAACATTCATGGGACATTTTATGGACCAGATCTTTTGCGATCTTTGAATAACTCTTTGGCGACCTCAGGCCGCGACAAGCGCAGTGGTTTGGAAATAAAACTTCTCATTCAGCTTCTTTCTCCCCCCCCCACTAAACACAGGACGGCATCAAAAGCGTCGCGAGCTGTCTGAAAAGGCCGTTACATAAATATAAAAAAAGTATGAAAGGCCTGCGCCTATTAGGTGGAGCACGGCCATGTTTGAATAGAACGATGCCGTCTTTCTGGCCCGCGTGACGCGCTCAAAAGGAAAGCCGAGGCAGAGAGGGTTTCCCTTGTGGAGAGGGAGACAATGCACGGCCCGCGGGGGGACGGCAAGCGCCTGCTGCTGATATTAACTCGTATCAAGAGGAGGAGTGAAACGTTAGGACATTTTCAGACTATCAAAAGTCAGATTTGACGCTTTGCTGTCGCGTCCGAGCTCTTTCATCGTCAATGTGTCTGATGCTTATTTCCGCTTTGTATCATTAACTCCATCAGTGTCAGAAAATTCTGAAAAAAGTGAGAGGCTTTGCAAGTCTCCTTATGTTTGACCAAGTTTTCAGTTTACGAAAACATAAAAAGAGAAAAAGCAATAAATTACATCCTGACATATGTTATGTATTGAGGTTAATCTATAACTTTATGTAGCATATTAAGTTAGAAGGCAATACAAACCGTATGCTCTGAAGATTAAAAAGAGGATTATCAGGCATTTATACTACAAATATAATTTGTTTGTGTACATTTGGATGTAAGCTGCCAGGCAACCAGGGACAATAACAACAGAAGCTGCCAAGATGAACATCAATACTTAAAGTCTTGACACATGAAACATTGAAAGAGGTTTTGTCAGCATTGTGGATTTGGTGCCAAAAATGTTAAGATTGTGATCCGTTGTGGATGGCCCTCAAGAAATGGTCAGAGGGTCACAAAAACAAAAAGAGTTTCCCCTGGTTAGCCAAAATGCTCATGGCGATCTGCCAACCGAAGTGCCAGGAGCTTGAATTGACAAACAATAACCATGGCAACAGGCTGAGGAGCTGATAAGAACCAACAACATCGTCTGTCTGCTTCCATCAGGAGATCTTTTTGTGGATCCAGTTTCAATGGTCAAATCTCTGGAATCGGGATGAACAAATGAGGATTACCATGAACAACTTCCCCCCCAAAAACAAAAACACTGATTTCTGGGAACTGCAGAGAAAAAAAAACTAAATAAAGAAAGAAAATCCCCACAAAATGACTGCTTAGCACTAAAGATGACACCGAAATAAAACCCACGACACAAACCAACACGGCTTCGGCACGGCCGACCACCCACACACACACCCACACACCCACACACAACGGGCCAAATGGTTATTATTGAGATCTTCTCCACCCACTGGGCTGCTCATTGTTTCCCACAATGCCGCAGTGATCCAGCTCTCAAACCGTCAACGCCCAACAGTTACGGGGCAGAGGACGGCGACTCAATACGTCGGTGTCACTAGGCACTGATCAACAATAACAAAATACCCCCGAAAACTTTTATTTAAAACATTTATTTTCTTATTTTCTTTTCTGCACCGCCAGACAACTGGCAGCATCCTGCAGGTGCACTCGCCAACCTCCAGTTGCGGCATTAAATATTCACGCAGAACCGTTGCATAATTCACCTTGTCAACACACACCGAGGATGTGACTTTGGGGAGAAAGTCGCAGCTCAGCAGAATCCGGGGACATTCTGAAACAAACTCCTCTTCACGCAATTCGACGCCGAGGGCGGTTTGACTTCCCTGCAGCGGCGTGCGTGACGCAACGGAGGCCTTGCATGTCTGTGCGGGGATCAAACGTGGGAAGCGGAGTTTATTAAACACACGCTAATCCCACCGTTTTAATCCCTGGGCCGGCTGTCTGCTCGTGTGTTGGCCGTCCGATGGGTGTTTCCCAGTTTGAGTTACTCGACAGGCCGGCTCTCCTCGCCAGGATAGGTTTTCCCCGTGGGGAGGGGGGGAGGGGGGGGCATCTTGCCTCTGTTTAGAAAATAAAAAACACACAGAAGAGCGCGTCGCTCGCTCGCTCCCCGGGGGTGGGGGGACCGGCAACGCTGGTCGGCCCGGTCACGTGATCACCGCAGAAAAAGAATTCCAGTGCGGCTGCCCGGAGCCCAGGCGCACATGGCGGCCCATTTCCAAACAGATGTTTTTCGTTTGCGCCGCTGCAGTCTCTGGGTTCAGAGGCGCGGAGCCAGGGGGGTGATTCATGAGCCCGCTCCCTCGTTACAGTCAGCAGACACCGAGTGCCGAGAATAAACGCGGCCCCGGTCCAGCCTCTGGTCGATTTTTCCTTTATTTTACTTAATCGTCGAGATATAATAGGGCTGTAAAAGATAGATGGATGGCACGGCCGGTTTGTAGGAGTGTCTGTTAGGACGTGGAGGGGAGGACTCGGCCCGGGCCGCTTCCTTTAAACAAACATATCTGGTTTGTGTCCTGCTCCTCCTGATGTTTACATGTGAACTCTTTAGCCACAAGTGAACCTTGGTTACTCACTCGTTCCTGCTGCGCATGACAGATCACACTTAAATGCCGTGAGTCTGAAGTCACTCACGTCTGCAGCCAAATACGCTGGAACTGGGAAATGAGGTCACGTTTTGGCGTTAACCGGACAACGAGGAAGGTGTGCGCCACCCTGGTTTGATGCTCCATTTACATCCTAGCAGGAAAGGATGCCAATTGGGGGGGGGGACATTCACATTTACACAAAAACCCACCTGCCTGGCCCGATTTCCCCTCTCACGCGCACACACACACATGATCAGAGGTGACACAGCATCATGGAGTGGGACTCTGGGTGCATATTTCTACACGGCACCTCCCTTTTGAGAATAAACATTTCATCTCGGTGAGGGGGGGTTGCAATCTGGCCGACGTGAGAGCGGCCAGCGCTCTATAGTCCTGAAACGGTTAAACCCAGATGTGACTGCCAGTGACGGGTGAAGGTCTTTCTCTCTCTCGGTGTGTCACACATGCACGCTGCTCCGGGGCCCTGGCAGCACGCTCTGAAGCAGCCAGTTATGTAAGAGTGAACACGGAGAGCTACAGGCCCGAGTGCACATCCTCCCGTTCCCTACGCCACCGAAGCCATCCACCCCCTCTACTATTACTCCACATCTCTGGTGAGAAGGAGCAGCGGATTCACAAGAGGAGAGGTCATTAAACACCCACGCGTGTACCTGAAAAATGTCCATTTTTCAGCAACTGCAACAGGTGCAATTATTTGACTCTCTGCCGGGGCAGAAGTGCAACACAGGAACACATCCGGGCCTCTATAGTGGGATCGCAGAATGCTTCCAGATACCACCAGTTGAATTGTTTTGCAGGTGCATCAACTGCATGCCACAGCGTTTAACCCTGTTGAATGTGCATTTTGAATAGAACAACGGTGTATTTGGGTTAATCATCCATCCATCCATCCTCAGAGGCGGCGGCCTTACCTCTTCCAGCACATTCACGGAGTTCCTGCAGCTCTGCAGCCGGGTGGTGAAGCTGGACGTGGTGGGGGAATTGTAATCCTCTGTCGTCTCCGAGAGAAACTCGGACACCGATATTTGATCCGGCATCCTTTAACCGGGGAGGCGGGCAGGGAGAGGTGCAGGAGGAGGGTGGTGGTGGTGGTGGTGGTGGTGGAGGGGGGTGTAGGGGAGGTGAGGGACGGGGGTGGGAGGGTGTGGGGTGGGGGGGGGGGGATGCCCACGGGAGGGTTGGCGATGAATGCTCAGAAAGCCAAAAACATGTACGATTTAAAAACACAGAAGAAGAAGAAGAAGAAGAAGAAGAAGAAGGAGGAGGAGGAGAAGAAGAAGAAGATGGGGGAAGCAGTGGGAGTCTGGCGAGAGCCGATGGAAGCGGAATGCCGATTTTCTTCTCTTTTTTTTTTTTTTTTTTTAGCTCGCGGAACTGTGATGAAGTATCGAGATGATTAAGACGCGTCTTCTCGAATGACTTCGCTGTTCGCCGGGGAGGGGGTCACGGGGGGAATAAACTGAATTTCTGCGGGCTACGTTCCCCTTCGCGACGCGTTTATAAATAGTGTCACTGCGCGTCGGGTTAAACCTCGCAGGGAAAAACGGCGTAAAGAATAGCGGATGCCCTCATTATGGTCTACAGATGTTTAATAAACCGCCTGTCGTCAAACAGCGCCCCGTTACCAGCCTCCGTTCAGGATTTATCATAGTCCATGGGTCTGTCGAGGTCGTCTGTCAATGCAGCGGGGTCCGGTCCTCCTTTCTTCAGCCGTAGTTTTTTATAACGATAAACGCTGCCGCAGACATTCACCGCCGCTCTCTCCTGCTCGGCCGCGCTGGAGCTTCTCGGAGCTAGTGTCAAGCTAGCTGGAAAGAACCATCCCATTTCCGGAACGATGTTTTTCAAAATAAATCGCGGCGGATCGTCAAATTGAAGGCGGAATGTCTCGCGAGTATGGACTTAATCATTTACAATAATAGCAATACAACCCTTCTGATATTCTGTAGGCTGGAAGCTGGGACGTATTAGTATTACTAGAATTAGCCGATAGTTTCATACATGTATTGAACATGATTTGGTTTTATTGTACAATCATTATTTGAGTGTATTTTGATAAAATAATAGAAATGTTGGAGCTAGTGGTGACATATAATCAAACAATGATCATAATGTGAAGTTTTCTTTCACAGAAAGCAGAACGTTATGTAGTCGCTTGCATCTCTTTATTTTGAAAACAAATGACGGCATTTCGTTCCTATTGGTGGAAACTTGACGCAACTCTCTCCCGCCCACTTCGCCCGGTTGAGGCCTCTGCGCATGCGTGATCTGGAATCTGTGACTGTCAGAGCCCAACACCACCGTGGGCCTGATTACCGCAGAATGCAACGATTTACAGCACAATAAGCATTCATGTTTCGTTTGTATGACTTAAAGCGACAACGAAGATTCTTGAGTGCTATCAGAAGAATATGAACTCATGCCCTTCTAAATATTGTCAGTTGGATGACACAGAACCATGAGAATTACTGCCATTATAAATAATGCATCTACACTATATGTCAGTGTTGTATTATATGTCGAAAGTTCTAACCTAACGAAACTCCATGAGCTTTGAATATTACATTAATTTTCCAATAAAACTGAGCAGTTGGTTTTAGTTAGTCCAATTGTCCCTACTGTGAGATGAGTTTATTTCAATTTCATTCAGCTGAATGTGCCTTGAAAAAAAGATTTCTGGGTATTGAATTACTGCTCATATATATATTACAAAGTATGTCATTGTCTTCGTGTTATATGTTATTGTCCCTTCGAAAATGAATCCTGTTTACTTGATCATCATGTCCCCGAGGTAAGCAGGTTTGCATCCAGAAAGTCATTAAAAAATATCTGCCATTTATATTTCCCAATTGCGACAAAGTAAAATATAAAACTGTCTTTTTTAATCCAAATTTACAGCAGTATGTCATAATACTTTAAAAATCCTAGTTATGTTCTAATATTCTATTTCCCCCACTATTCTTAATTAGAGCAAACTAATCTATTCCTTATTGTACTAATCCAAACATACAGCGCCACCGTGTGTCTGTTCACTCATATTATTTGCTGTCTTTTTTATGGCTTAAATGTTTCGTCCTCACACGAGTAATAACCATTAAATGTTGTGAAATAAGCTTGACTCATTTATATTACAGACTGTAGTTTTAAAACCGCAAATGGGGTTTCTTTACGATAAAAGTATTTTCGGTTAGGTTCAATCAACGTTAAGTTACTTGAATTCTGTTCGCAAATTGTTTTAAAAAAATACTGACCGGAAGTTCCGCTTTTGCTAGCGTTTTGCTTTAGCTAGCTTGCCGTAGCTTGTGTTAGCTTTAAGCTAGTGCCGTGGAAGTCTATTAAAAGTAGGCCGGGGTTGTTCGTGCTTATTTTAGGGAGTTCGTCTCAGATTTAAAAAGAACAACACAGGTGAACAAGTGGATATTGTTGCCGAGTACCTGGACACGGTCGCCATCTGTCACAAAGCTGCCGGCTGTAACTTGTGGCGTGAAAGCAGCAACGACCAAAGTTCATACTGAATGGCTGAAGGATCCTCAGGTAACCAGCATGCTATCGAAATAACTTCACCATAAGGGGAAAAAAAACAAGTTCTTCCTGTCCAAATGTAACTGAATTGATGCGTAATGTCTTTCTTGCCTCGTTAAATGTGCTGTTTTTTTTATCGTTTTACACGTCTCTCTATTTGGTAATTAAGCTAATTCCGTTGCCTAGCTAATGTTAGCTGACGGTTGACTGTCGGCTAACATTATCGAGATTAACGCCATTGTTCCACGTGTGATATAACGTGACGTCTGGCTGATGTCACGTCAGCCTTTAACGTGAAAGCTGAGTTAACGTTAGTTAAACTATTCGCTTAGTAGCTGACGTGACATCGGATGGTGAACTTTGTACGCCAACGTTAAACCTGACCTGAGATCTGTTATGTATGACTCTTGGCTTAGTTAACGCCAAGTCATTTTCTGGTGTAACATCTGACTATAGAGTAACGTTAGCAGCACAATTATGAACAGATCGACACCGCCAGTAATAAATTAACGTCATTACGTTTATTTTTGGTTTCTGGTACCAAGTTATATTATGTTAAGACCGATCGATTGGTTTCAAGACGCGGTGAATCATCGATGACAATTACTGCGTCATGGTTTTCATCCCCCCTAATGGCATATTTACTGCAGCTGCATTTTGTTGAGATCACCATACCCAAAGCTTCAGGCTTCTTACATTGTCACTCTTTGCGTTTGCAGAACCACCTGACCTCAATCCAAACCATGCGCCACACCACAAACCAAACCAGCACAAATCCAGAAGAGGCAGGTCCAGATTCAACAATGACAGGAGCCTGAATAGTTATGATCCCCCTCAACAACATGGACACTTTAATCAGGGCTTTCAACCCCCATTTAGTCAGGATAATTCAGATTATGTATTCCATCAGCATCCCCACTACCAGGAAGAGGATGGAGCCAGAAGGCGAGGCAGAGGTAGAGGCAGGAGAGATGGAAATAGAAGTGTAAATGGCTCCAACTGCCAAAGACCCAGAGGTGACTTTGGTTTGCATGGCGCCGACATCAGAGGGGCTGCGGGTTTTCACCCTAGGCCGCAGCCCATGGATGCCGGACCTGATGGACCAAGCTGGCGAAGAGAAGCTGCAGGCAGGAATATTGAACAAACCAACGAAGACCCGGATGCTGGGGCTAAAGAACACGGGAGGTTTAGCCAGGAGGCCCGGCGGAGAGGACCACAAACTGACAAGGCTACTTACTTAAAAGAGAACAACACTTTAGTCGATGGGCGGCGGTCAAACGACACCCCAAGAGAGAACCCCGCTTTAGACGTCAGGGAAAGAAGTCAGAGGATCAGGCCAGGTCCAGACTCCCAACATGATGATCCTCAGAGAAAACCTACTGAGGTCAAACGACGCCACGGGCCAATTAAACCGCCCAGAGTACAACCTCCGGAGGAAAGCCGCTCAGAGAGGGGGGCCAGTTTCCAAGATGAGTCTGGCTATGGCAGATCATCTCAAAATCCTGCCGGTAAAGCTGGACATGGCGCAGGACGACACACGCCCCTCCAGGCCAGAGGAGGGAGAAGAACGCATCATCAGAACGAAAGGCCAGGCCCGAAGAACTGGGACAAGATGCCAGAGAGCAAGGAGACGCAGACCGGTGAGACTACAACTCATTTAAACGCGTAGAGAAAGAGTCTGTTTCACTACATTATTCATAACACAGTATTCCAAGAAAACCCAATCACTGACCGTTGACAATTCCAAACATGCGGAAGTTCTTATATAAATCCTGAAATGCTATGAACCGTGCAATTAAACACAACACATTTTTATAATATCCTCTGATTTGAACATGTTTTATCAGAACATCTGATTCAACTCGTCATCTGATCAACTCCTCCCTCCGCAGGGTGTCTGATTGAACAGCTGTCTGAGGAGAAGTATGAGTGCATGGTTTGCTGTGACGTCATCCGCTGCATGGCCCCAGTTTGGAGCTGCGCCAGCTGCTACCACGTCTTCCACCTGAACTGCATCAAGAAGTGGGCTCGATCCCCGGCCTCTCAGGCAGACGGTACCCACCACCCCACCCTAACCCCCCTTGACATGCATCTGGATGTTTACTGTGCACTTTAGGCATAATCGACTGTATGCGTGACTGTTGTGGGGATGAACAATGCCTGTACGCCGTGGCCCCCTTAACAGAAAGAAACCCCACTCTCGGGTTCGAAGTTCCTGCTGCATCAACAATATTGTGAATTGAATGGCCTTTTTGAGGCCAGAGCCAGAGCTCTTTGTGGAACTTCTGTTTAAAAAAATAATAAAATAAAAAATGTATATATTTTTATACTAAAACAATGCTGTTTTTCAGAATCGGCTGAAGGTTGGCGTTGTCCGGCCTGCCAGAATGTTGCACTGAAACAACCGACCTCCTACACCTGCTTCTGTGGTGAGAGACTGTTTCACTTATGCCATTAAATACATTTTATGAATTGTAATTTATCGGTTGTCTGGTTGAATGAATTTCATTGTTCGTTTTATTCAACATTTGATTGGCAGGCAAGGTGACAAACCCAGATTGGCAGCGCACCGAGATTCCCCACAGCTGCGGGGACATGTGTGGGAAGAAAAGAAGCGGAGTGGACTGCAACCACCCCTGTAACATGTGAGCCATGAAAAACACCGGATAACAGCGTTTTGATGTTGTTTTTCTCAGTGTTTTCAGGGAAATGATGAGTTGGACCTGAAGGTATAGTATAAAAAAGTGGTTTTATTAATCAATCCAATAGTGTGAAGATGATTGTTAGATAAAATCTCAGCCTATAATTCTATCTCAAGTACAATTTTGTGCTGAAAACGTTGTGATAATTACAATAAAGTAGATTAAGATTCTGGACTTAATTAGTAGTTCAGTTTGCATATTTTTTCTGAAGAATATATATATATATTTCTAAACGTCTTTCTCTTCTGTGTCTCCCTTCAGCTTATGTCACCCTGGACCTTGTCCACAATGTCCCGCCTTCATAAAAAAATCCTGTATCTGTGGGAAGACCAGGTCCGCTCCAATAGAATCCTGTTTGCTCCTTTCTATCTGTGTTTGTGTGTTTACCCAAAGAGATTCCTTTTCATTTTATCTGTGGATTTGACACCCCGGGATATTGACCCAGCTATATCCTTGCAGTCAACCAATGCGCTGCGGCCAGGGTGCAGTGCTCCAGTGCAACGCGGTGTGTCGTGCCTTACTCAACTGTGCCAAACACACCTGCGCCCAGGTGTGCCACGGTGGCGCG